GAACTACCTACCAGCACATTTAGTCTCAGCACCAACTACAGACATCTTCAGGATGGGGTTGGCCCAATACATGGGCCTCCCCACTCCTTAGTCATTCATTACAGACACATTGCGGCCATGTACATAGCACTTTTATTTTTGTACACCATAAGCACTTTCTTGTTTGATTTTTTTTCCCTTGAACGGAGCACCTCACCCCACCGGCCGCAATTGTCAAGACCCTGGGCGTGATGCCCCAGTTTGGGGGCCTTGCCCAGTATGATATATAGATATATATAGATGTTAAATTAAGGAAACGGAAAGTAATACTCACAAATCCCAACCCACACAGCAGGTACAGTTTGATCTGAAATCTGCCGAACCCCAACTTCTCCACTGCGTCCTCTACCGTGAATGTGTCTAGAATGTAGGGATAGTGGAAAATATGGTTTTTACTATTGCAAGTTATTTAGCTTTAATTAAAGACCACACTGACTTAATTCAAAATTTATGGATGGCATCATCTGACGACCCCCAAACTAGTGCGCGCAGGCGAATAAAAAAATTCAGCCAAAAAATGCTGCTAAACCACAAGAATACAAAGCTGTATTGTGATAATCTCCAAGCAGATTCGGTGGGGCAAGGGGACTTTATATTGGCCTCCTGTATCCATTAGCCGCCTGTATCCATAAAGTCCCCTTGCCCCACCGAATCTGCTTGGAGATTAGAATTGTGAATTGGCGGTAGTACATGGCGACTTTTACGACAAGCCGGCACATGTTGGCCTTTTGCGGCATTTATGGGTCGGCATTGTAGTTTTTTGTACTGAGGTCGTGAGATCCGTGGAGCTTGGACAGCCTGGGTGTCATCCTCCGTGGTTACCACAAGCTCCCTTCTTTCGCTGACTACCATGGACTACAAAGGATGGCACACAGGCCAGAGCCTCGTCGGAGGTGTTTTTTTAGGACAGGCGAAAATCAATGCGCGCGCGGATGTCATCCATATGATCAAATCAACATGGCCTGTCTACTGTACGAGTCTACTTCATCATCTTGTTTTGAAACTTCTGAACCACATTTCTAGCTCGTTTCCGCAACATCATTTCGGCTACCTCCATTCATAAAGGTAGCCAAACGTTTGTGGAAACGTTTGAAGAGAAAACCAAATGGTTGTGCAGTAGTACCAGCTGATGTACTTACGGTAAACTACTAGTATTTACAGACACAACTTTACATACCTGTTGTTGGACCCTTTCGGTGTCCCGTGGCTGTCAATGGAACTTTCTCGGGGTCCTTACGCTGTAGCGTTGACTTCAAATACCTAATCATTGCAATGCTACGATGTTTCGGATATAAGAGTAAAGAATAGATGCAGCTGCGGGTGTAACGAAGGAGGGAGAACAAAACACAGACCAGACGTCTCTGGAGCTCTGTTTAAATGCTCACTGAGCTTCCGAATAACTTTTTATGCTGTTTTATTGTTTGCAGATGTATAATTATAACCAGACAACAAAAAACACATTGATGCCCTCCCTTGTGCCATATCATGTCATATCATATCATATCATATCATATCATATCATATCATATCATTGAGAGAACTTATAAGCCAGAGAAACCATTTCTAACAATATCATAACGACAGAAGAATAGACAGCCATGATTTTCATGTTTTCTCACGTCCCAGAAGTGATATAAAAGTGACAATGACACGTCAGGAACAGGACACGTCATAAACAACGTCCCAAAAAATAAGTTTATGATCAATTAACCTACAAACATACAGGGAGGGTCGAGGTCATCAGTTAGGCTTACGCTGAGCATTAGTAGTCTCTACCAGACAAGACCGGAATAACTACGAAAGAAACAACCTTCCACGGCCGGACTCCCCTGGCCAATTTTACTCTCTTTTCTACGATCCGTATTCCCGTAGAAAGGCCCGGTGGAGGCTAGAGAATTAGGGCGCCCTGGAGGGAACTGTCTGTGGTCGCCGTTACTAATTTTTGGCCTTGTTCACATGAAACCGGCCGAACCTTGATTCGGGTAACTAGCATTCCTTACATCTGGTCCACATGCCACACGTTCCTTTCAAACCGTGTCCGATCACTATTCGCTTGGTCTACATTAATTGTTGTTTGATGAAAACATGCAGGGTAGCGTGTTACTGATATCAATGTCAGAGGTCAACGACCTGGTTTCTGGTGCCCCCCTTCCAGCATATCTCGGCCGAATGCCGACGTGGTCCCGCCAGAGGCGGCGTAGCTCGTCCTAGAACGGACACATTATTTGACCATTACTGCTCTTTAAGTTGCTGCCACGTAAAATTTGGTATTGCATATAAATAAAGAAATATCACCCCGTAATCCATGACCAGGTGGTCACATTGAAATCACATTGCTTTCAGACGCAAATCGCGATGCGGGAAAACCGATTCGAAACCACCTTTAGAAGTGGTTTGGGATCGAGGCGCTTTCAATGTGATTTGGGGCGTTTAGATGGGGCCACTTGAAACCTGCTTCGAGGGAAACCACATGTAAAGCGCTTTCACTGACTTCATATGAACAGGGCCTTACAGAGGATTTCCAGACTGAGTATAGATCACATTAATAAATAGTATGGCATTACCACGTGCATTACTACTGATATTTTCTTGTAGAGACGAACTGCACAATGGAGGAAAGAATTGCTAAAAAAAGTCTCTTACACTTGGCATAGACCGTTTCAAATGGCAACGACAGTTTATGAGACGAAAACGCACAGAGGCCATTGGTCAACACATACATGACGTCGGCAGAAGAGTGATTGATTGGCGACTGATGTAACGGTAAACTATTCAAATGTTTTAATTTACTATCTCTGTGATCCAAGCAGGTAAAGGTAACGTGTAGCACAATGGAAAAAACAGCCTCTTATCATTAACCTGTTGTGTTCAATTCTAGGCTTTCCTGCCTAGTAAGTTTTATTGTACGCAGTCACATGTAATGTCTGGCATACACAGAAAAGGCTTCACTCCTATTATATAAATAGAAAATCATTTCTTCCATCCATTTCACGGAAACAGGTTATAACAATAGTAAATGCATTGTGCATTATCTGTCTAAAAAGTATATTACGCTAGAAGTGGATATGTACATTAGGTAGGAACAGCAGTCAAGGAGAAACAGTGCCCTCTAGCGCTTGGTCACAAACTGTACATGGGCAAAAAATACCCCCTAGCGGACAAAAGATCCACTGCAACTACCAAGCATACCCAGCAAGTTTCCATAGTCTACAATCCCGCAACAAAACATGCATCGTGTTTACTAATTATCAACATACAAAAATATGGATAAAACTTTAACTTTCTGGTTAGTATTACATCAAAAGTTGAACAAAAATAATATAATAACTGATATAGATTAAGGTCATTTGACATGACAACAATATGGTGAAAGTCACACCAGAATTACTTATTGTACATGAATCATTTTGCACTTTATGTAGAACTTCAACTACTTACAAAAACTCTTTGAAATAAGATTATCAACAGAGCATACCAGTTACCTACAAATATTTCAACATTGCCTTATAAGCTTACAACTTTTGGATGGATTCTACCTTATTTGCTGAAAAGTGTCTTAAGAAGAGGAATGTAAAAAAGTGAAGGGTTAGATAGAAGTTAAGATGCTGTAACATGTCTCCAAAACACTTTTGGGGGATAAAAAATTGGAATATCCTCAAAAGTATACGGTGACAGAAAAAACACTTATACTCTCAAGTAGGAATGGGCTTGTCCATTTGCAACACCAACTACTGCTTGCTCTGATATTTCACCGTTTGTCCATAGGTCTAGGACTTAAATGGAATAAGAATGGTACAAGCAATATTATGTAAGATTTTCGCAGTTTTAAACGTTGTTTCACATATTTTCTTGCGCTATACATTGTAAGCCTACCTGGGTTCATAATGACATTTGGGGAGTAAAAAATCAGCATCGTTGTGCCGCAAAAATGTGTTGGAAGCTGCCGAAGATACCCAAACGAAAACCACCGTTTGTTTACAATCTTTTTAGGAGCCTCCTAAAAATACTGTGAGCCTGGTGCAACTTATTCTTGCGCTGCGCTGAGTCACCGGAAAAGCGAAATAGCTATGCTATTAAGTTGAAAGTTATTGAAAATGATAATCTACATGAGAAAATTTCAATCACTTGTATTTACAGTTTTGGCGCAAAAATCTTACATAATATCGCTTTAACTACAACTCCAAAAGTTTGCCTGCTATATCTGTGTTTTCTTTTTGACACCTCTTCCAACACAAAAGCCACACGTTGGCACTCAAGAATCATAACTGCATAGATCATGGGTGTTGCGTGTAAGTCTCTATTTCACATTTTATTCCTGAGAATGGTGATTCGGTGAACTGGAATTCTGAAATTGAAATGTGTATACATTGTTTATACATGCACAAAGAGAACACAGCCTTCTGTCACGGCCAGCCAAAAACAGTGACAAACAGTAAGTTTTGTTTCCACTACTTGAGGACAATGATTTTCCCTAGAATAGTGTTAACTGCTTCTGTGCTCGGTTTGCAGAAGAGTACTACATGTACATTGAAGGTGAAACAACGTGAATAGAAAAAATGACTAAGGCCACAGCAATTAAATTTTATGGATGACATCCTCCGCAGACTCCAAATCTAATGCGATAGGGAAAAAAAAGGCAGACCAAAAAAACAAGATTCCTACATCTTTAAATTTTGACATCATAAACCTTGTTAAACAGGAACTGATACCTATATTGTGTTAAGTTTACTGCCAACTATTACAACATCCATTTGTCACTGAAACAACTTTGAAAAAAGAAAAGTTTTCAATCATTGTACAAATTTCTTCGATCCAGTGGGAACATCACATATAAAAGGACTGAAATAGATCACTGAATCAAAGTAGAAGACAAAACAAAAAATTAGAGCCTTGACTTCATATTTTTCTGCCATCCACGTTCCGGCATGGCAACAGACATCTTTGCCCATTTTCGGCATGTTGACCACTGTCAGAAGGCAACAATTTTTTTCCAAAATCAGGTGAAAATCAATGCTGATGTCATCCATAAAAATTACTTGCTGTGGTGTAATCAAGACAAACTACATACACAAGTGCAACCACTCAGAACAAATGCAGAGCAAAGGAAGAGACTAAAAGAATTTTTGTTTGTTGTGTCAGCTGTAGAAAATATCAGATTTGCTCCTGGACAGATTTGATAGTAGGAAGATAGAAATGTTTGTGATCATACAAAGAATTCACTGAACAACCTGTACACAAGAACTACCAACAAAGCAATACATTTGGTTTGTATCTACAGACATTTATACGTTCTATCTATCCTATCTTAACTACAAGAATCTGAGAAGTTTGAAGAGGTTGGTTGGTACGCAAAATTATCCCCCCTCCCCAAAATACTGCCAAGCTGTAACAAGCTTAACAACAGTCCACAGCACTATAAAGCTGTTTCTTTCAAGCCGTTGAAGTTAGGTACCCTACCCCCTCTGGCACTCTTGATGGGCTGCAGGTTCCTCTGTGTTTGGGACGGGTGGTGAGGAGGGGGTACGTCCGTAGAGCTGACTCTCAGCTCGGGGTTTATAACATTGTCTACGGGGGAGCTGGGCCGAGCTGGCCAGTTGGGGGCCTTGATACCCCCCGGGGTGGGGTGTCCCCTGTTGTTGCCTGTTTCCTGCCTGTCGGATTCGGACTTGGAGTGTTGGTGGACGGAGTTGTATGACATGAAGTTGGTACCGTCTGTTCCGAAAGAGTTATTCCGGTTGAGTATGGGGAGCTGGCGTTGCGGGAGAGGGTGGAGGCGTGAGTCCGTGTTCCGGGAGTATCCTGTGCCCGCTGCCAGCATCTTTTCCGCCGGCGTCTGAGCCAGCTTGCGGAAGGGTTTGGGTTGTCTGTGCTCTCGATGCTGCATAAGAGAAAAAAACAGTGAACATGACATAGTTGTCACAGAGAATAGAATACATGTACATGTTTTACCGAAGGAAAACATATTGTTTTTGCTCAGTTTCTTCTTCCTCTTCTTCTTCTCCAGTGACCTCTGACCTTAACCAATGTTGTGTCTGTTGCAATGCATATGGTAACTGGTGTTGGGTTACGTCATGTTACAATTTCATAGCAGGAGGAATTTAGACTCCTGTCTGACCATATATATGAATGTGTTTGCGTAACAGAGTAGACCATATGCGAAGGTAAACATTGTGCATTTGCCTTGCAAATGTTACCTTTCTACAAATGTAGTTGTACATGTATTAAGAAACGAGATAGGTAACATTTACAAAGCAAATGCATCATGTTTCCCTTCACATATCCAGCTTAACAAACTACTGCTTTGTTTATTCTTACTCAAACACATTCATATAATAGGGTGACCATGCAGCCCCTCTTGAACTCCGTTCTGCATGGCACTTGCAACATTATGTAACCCAACACCAATTACCATGGTGACAGACGTCTGGCCCTGGTCACTGACCTTATTTGTTTGGAGAAGAAGAAGAGGAAGAAGACGAAACAGAGCAAAAACAATAAGTTTTCCTTCTGCAAAGGTAAACATAATGAAGCACCTAGAACAACCAAAAAATCCTATAGCTTGAAACCTATAGCAATATCGGGGTAGATGTAGATCTTGGAAATGTTTGCAAATAGAACGAATCCTTAATCTGGGTGCCAGACTGTTTCCAGGGCCTACATAGCTAAGGGTCAGTTGCTGGACTCTAGGGCCAACATGTGCCCAAGGAAATTATACCACAGCCCCCTCAGTTAGGCATGCTGGCTAAGTTTGGGCCTAGCGTGCTATGGGTCTGGTATTCAGGATAATGATTCCTGCACAACTCTCGTGAACCCGTGAAGTGAAGACGTTGAATGTGTATGTACCGGTGTGTCCAGTCTCTCCCAGTCTCTAGCCTTGGGTGCCCCTCCCCCATAGATGGCTCTCTGTATGGCTATTCTGTCTGTGTCTCCACCAGGTAGCTGAAAAATAACCCACAGGACTTGTTTGTTTCTTTCTTACATGAGTAGGTTATTCCTCAGTTGATAATGAAAAGATATGAAACTATTCAATAATTATCACAACTTACGTCAAAGGAACAAATTGCCAACTGCACACACACTCATATAAAATTTCACTTTGTTATGGAATGTACCAAATATGATGTTATACGTAACAAGCTATTTACATTTCTCAAATCAAATATAACTGATTTCAAGAGTCTCGATGTTGTAGACAGATTTGAATATATCTTTACATGTAATGGTTCCTACAACGCAAAAATAGGTAGATATATAAAGGAATGCTTTGTTATTAGAAAAAAAACGAAACTTGTGAGAAGCCCACTCGATTGTAACACTTTATCAAAGACTTGTGCTAGCCCTTATTGTTTGAGTAATTAAGATATGTTAGGTTTTATTCGACTTTAGGTCTTATCCAACATCTATTTTATTGTTTGTTACTCTCTTTATGTAGTTTGCCATACATTGTACCATGTGCAATTGTCGTGCAATAAAGTTCTTCTGTTATAAAATAACATTAAAGGCTCCGTACAGTGGAAGCTTTCTTCTTTTTCTTCTTCCTGATGAAGTTTTGTTGGTAGGTTCCCGCAGGTTTCCAGGCAGGTTCAGTATCAGGCTCAGCGTCTTTCCTACAGGAGGATAGCAGCTTGTTTTAGTAAAGTGACAGGCTAAAGAAGTGTTTTATTGATGTTCACAAGTAGATATATTAACAGTAATGTTATACAAGTCAGGCCACACTGATTTAATTTTATGGATGATTGCATTGATTTTTGCCTGTTCTCAAAAAAAAAAAATCAACTCCTCCGAGGCTCTGGCCTGGGTGCCTCTATAGTCCATGGTTGCTAGCAACAATATGAAGCCGGCGGTAACTAAGGACGCAGGCTGCCAATGCTCCACGGAACTCAAGAACAGTACCAACTCATAAATGCTGCAAGAGGCCAGCATGACGTGCTGGCTTGATTTTAAAGTTACTGTAGTTATATACATTGTACTATAGCGAATTCACAATACCAGCTTCGTATCCCTGTTGTTTAGCAGCATTTTTTATTACTACAATTTTTTTTTTATTTGCCTGCGCGCGCACTAGTTTGGAAGTCTTCAGAGGATGTCATCCATAAAATTAACTCAGTGTGGCCTCAGCAAAAAATACAGTGGCACAGTAGTAACTTAACAAGTTCATTCAGCTATAGCACACATATATGTTTTAACAAATTTTATTTTCAAAACCCTATTTTCAAGACTCTTCCTATAGAACTTGTATCTCACCACTGTTCAGGTTCCTGTGCTGTCCCTCCCCAGGTCCTGTTCCCCCCTGTTGTCTGAGTGGTTCCTCCCCAGTTCCTGTTGCCACCAGTGGAGTCAGGGGAAGAGTCGAAGACCATGGAGGGGCCGTACTTGTAAGGGTAGGTGTACTTCATGGGGTCATGCTGGGGGCTACGCTCTGGAACCAAAAGACATCACATAATTATTTAGTTTTAAAGCAAAAGGTTAGGCAATGCAAGTCAGGACACAGAAAGAAGATTTTTATCTGATTTTGGAAAAGAAAAACAAAACAAAAAAAACACTACTTGAATGTTATAGAAGTGACACTAGTTTGCTAGACTTGAGTGTAATAATACCACACTACCACAATAGTTTCACTACCATAACATTTCTTGAAAGAAACAGAAATAAAAGATATGATACCATGTTTTGCCACTTGCTACAATGTTAATCTAATTTAGGCTTCTTGGTAGGCATCTCTCGGTCCATCTTGTTCCTTTTTCACACACTTGTATTAGATTTTGATATCAAAGTCTCTCTGGTGGTCCATCAATACTGATGATAACATAGGTATTTACATGCAGCAAAATCTGTGGCTTTATGAGACTGGAGTCTTGACAGATTTAAAGATATTATGGGCCTATTGTTGGCTGATCAGAGATGACGTTATGTAAATGTACATTAGGCCACACCAATTTAATTTCTTGGTTAACGGATTCGCCTGCTTCATTTTTTTCTGATTTGCAAAAAAAAAAAAATTCAGAATTAACTGCAAAATGCTCATATTTTGCCCCGAACAGTTGAAAAAAGTCCTTTTCTTCCTAGTTGTTACAGTTATTCCATCTTTCAATGCAATGGTATCATTAAAAGTTCAAAATTCATTGTTTAAATTTTGAACCAGCCTGGTGTGTTGACTTCATGGCTCCTATCCTACCATTTTGGGCCATAATAGGATGCCTAGGCCTGTTTTTATTTTTTATTTTTTCCGCCCGCCCGCTCCATTATTTTTCTAGAAAAATCCGTTAACCAAGAAATTAAATTGATGTGGCCTTAGGTTCCATGTGAAGAAGTGAAGCATGCAATAAGATGAAGAAAATTCACAAGAAGGCAAGTAAAAGCCCTTCCACCACACCAACCTGAGGACTCCTTGTTATCAAAGCCACCCTCCATACTGCCCCTGGCTGTGTTACCATCTGTACAAGAAGTACACAAACAAGACAGAAAACCTTAACATAGTACCCCACCACACAGGAATAAAGCATGATATTACATACAGAAACAAGGGTGTAAGTGGTTGAATAGCTGGTTGGCACAATAGGATTTATTTTTGCACAACAAGCACAGCTAACAACAGAAACAACTATAAAAACCAATGTTGTGAAACATCTTCATACAAACTAAACATTTCCTCCAAGAACCCACTTATAAAAAGAGAAGGGGACCTTCCCGGTGTGAGTGGTTCAAACCTTACAGTTTGGTCTTACGCAGCTTGTACAAGTACAAAAACGAGTGTTATATGCCTAAAGGCGGTTTACTAGTTATGCGAAACAAACAGAGCTCTATCCTTCATACAAGTTTGGATTAGAAAGTCAGCCCCTGTAAAGAACCGGGACGAGGGGGGGTACAAACTAAGCCACGTTTGGGACACTGTTCTCGCCGCAAAAGCGCCACCTACATCGGCTACATATAGCGGTGAGATGCAGTACTCCAGTCAGAAGCTCTGAAGAAGGTGTCTGACGGACATCGAAATGTCAGCAAGGTGAGAATTTACTGGTTGTGTAAAAAGAAATACCTGTCTCCTAAGTTCTACCAACCTGATGAAATTATTTTTGGAAATATCCTTCATACAGTATTTCATTGAACACAATGTCATACTTCAAGTAAAGCTTTACACATTTTATCTGTAACAGTGTTACCAGTACATAGTATACAGAGTGTGTATGTACCATAGTACTGGCTCTTTGCTCTCCTTTCTCTCAGTAAAGACCCAGCATCATGACCACGCCCTGTGGAGTGGACATCTCCATCCAATCCCTGAAGATGAAAAAAGAGCATACGGCATGTATTCAGAACAATGATGAAATGACCAATGCAAAAAGATGTCACATTTTTTTCAGAAATGAGTACCAAAGTTAGACCAGGGCTCGAAATACTGGGAGCAAGTGCACCTTAGTGCACCCAAATTTGGAGCTGTGCACCCAATTCTTTTCTGGTGCACCCAAATATTTTCGTAGGTTTACATATGTAAAGATATCAAATGTACAGCATATTCCTAACATTCAAGTGTCATAGTACTTTCTTAAGAAATGAAACAATTAGTTTTTGCTGACATTCCAACATCTGTGTCCATAATATCACCAGGGTCCATAATATCGCCACCTTGAGAAAAAATGTGCTTAAAGATATTTTCACTACATTTGATGTGTGAAGAGTGCATACCAAAAGTATGTTGCAGTAAAAATATCTTTAAGCACACTGTTTCTCAAGGTGGCGATATTATGGACCCTGGTGATATTATAGACACAGATGTTACCTATTTCACCTCCAAAGGTGCACCCAAAAAATTTTGTGCACTTAATTTCTTTTAGGTTGTGTGCACCAGTTTTGTTGGTGATATATAGTGATGATTAACTGTTTTGAGCCCACCTCTCCTCTAGAGTTGACCCCTGGCAGTCGCTGTTTCTCCGGAGCGGAATCTGCCGACCCGTCCCTGTTCCGTCTACGGTTCATCACGGTCACGCCATTTTGTTTGGAGAAGCGGAAGTCTTCCACAACACTGGACTGGAACTGAGAATAACAGAAGTTTAAGTACAGAGTTGTTGTTGCGTTTTCCTTTTGTATAGAAATTCACATTTTTCCAATGAAGTAGCAAAATATATCAGTTCTATGAGTATTAGTCAATCATCACCTCATATTACATGGAAAAGATTAAGCTAGGACCACACTACATGTAATACTGTGTAAAGCGTCAAGGTGCAACTAAAGAATCTGCAGTCACTAAACTAACCTTTACTGCCTTCTTGTCAACATTTGCACCATCTTGGCCGAGACAGGGTGGACTAGTACCCTGTCCAGCCTCCTCCACGTCTGGGAAGGTACTCTCGCTCCTCCCCGGGGTGGGGCCCTCCATCCCTACCCCCTGGGGGAACCTCTGGGTCAGCTCAAAACTAGTCACAGGCCGGTTGACCTCTAGGTCAGAGTTTCTCCCATTCAGACCAGCTTGGTACTGTGGTAAGGGTTTCACATTGCCACCCTGTTTACTGTCAGGGTTTTGTCTAAGGTCCGCTGTGTTGCCATGACGATTGCCCCGCCCTTCTGGGTTCTCTTGGTTCCATGCCTGGGGTTGTGTACTTCTCTCTCCAGTCATGTTGTTTGTTTGCTTTGAAACATTGTTATGTTGCCGAGTGTCGTCGATATTCGAGTGGTTACGTATGTTCGGGTAAACGTTCCCTTGATGCCTTGCAGCGTCGGCGTTGTTCCGCAAGTACGGGGGAAGTCTGTTCTCCGTAACTCTCGCGTTGGGTGCGTTTCCATTGTTCCTTACGTTCCCGTGTATCCTTGCATCTTCGGTGTTCCCATGAGTCCTTGCTGCTCCTGTTTCCCTCCCCTGTTGCTGAGAGTCCTCGGCTGTTCTCTGATTTCTCGTATGCAAATTCTCCTTACCCTGATGTCTCGCGTCCGAGCTGTCCGAATGTACGCCGTCCCGCTTAGGACCTACAACTTTCGACCAACCAGGCTTTAACAGCTTGCTTGTGTGAGTTCTTTGGTCGCTTTCCTGCAACTTTGGTATGTTTGTACTCTCAGCAGCCCTTGGTTTTGGCTCGGGAATGTTGGCACCGTATTTGGGAGGATGGTTTTTCCTCTCCTCGTTGTTTTCAGCCCTGTCCTTGGTGGTGTTTTTGCCAGACTTGAGGTACTTGAGGAGTTGGCCCCCGGCCTGCGTACTGACCTGTGGTACGGAGGTACCGTGTTGGCCCGTACTGGAATGTTCCATTGAGAGAGGGGGGGCATGGCCGTTCATGTGTTCACTGTAAGTTGGAGGCCTGCTAGGCAGTTGTCTGCCCTCAGTTCTACATTTGTATGGACAAAATATATGTAAGTGGAAATAATAGGTATGAAAAAAAAAAACAGAAAACATAATAGTGTTGAAGTTATCATTCTCATGTCATATAACTTGATAGGATAATCCTTCTGTATAAAGAATTATTATCTGATGTTCTAGACAGCCTGAAAATTTTTCCAGTTATCTCAACAGTTTAACGAAAATTTGAAACCCTCTGAAATGCTATTTCCTGCATTCTGAGTGCAAATTTTGACTAAGCATACATGTACGTTGTAGTTTAATGACATCTCTTTCCATATGGAAACTGTGGGAGAATTTTTGTCTGTCACAAGCAGAAAAATTTCGTGTCAGAAAGACGGACATTGACTAGAACACTGCAATCATCATTTTTCCATACATTATATTATCATGCCCGGGCCGTGATAACGTTCGATGACAGATTCCGGACCAGTCCATACTTTACGGTACAGCCCAGGCTTCCATAGAACGATTCAAATGTGTTTTGCCATAACCGCGTGTGCCGATTTCGAAAATTCGAATACAGAATTCCGACATTGGAATTGATGTTGTTGCAATTTTTTAGTTTAGGGACACCAAACTTGGGCTCATTTTGCATTGAAATGCACATTTTTTTTTTGGTAGGTATGACATAAATAAAATACAACACAGTGTATTCCGCATCGCCCTCGGTCCTCCCGCAAGTCGGATCACCCTCGGTCCTCCCGTGAGTCCGATCGTGCTTGGCCTTCGGCCATCGGGCGATCCGACACGCGGTCGGGTCCATACCTCGGGCGATACGGAATACCCCGTGTTGTGTTCTATATTTACACACCTTGTGCTGATGTGTTCCCTGTGTGCAGCTTTGCTGTGTGTGGAGTTGATTCTGTAAGGCCTCTTGTTCTGTCTCAGGATCCTCTCAGTCTCAAACGCTGGATGTTCCAGACACTGCTCTATAGACAGTCTCTCCTTCGGATCAAGTCTCAACACTCCCTACAACAGAACATTTTGCAAAAATTCCACATTTTTTTTCTATTCCAACATTTATACGGTACAAGACATGGTGACGGCACACTCAAGTTTTCTTTCAACTTATTTTTATGCCGCCACCAACGCAGACAAATGCATGGACAACAGACATACTCATTTTCACCTGAGTTAAGTGAGGAAATTCGTGTGTCACAAGATCGGTGTCATGGCAGGATTCGAACTCGGGATCTCTTGGTTCCGAGCCGAATGCTATCGTTACATGACCCCACAGGAATTCCATATTTGCCGTGGTAGTCCCAAACTTTCTTCAAAACCAAGTACATGCAGTATACAAACAAAATAGGAAATAACCATTTAATGCAATGAGAAAATTTACAAGTCAAGAAAAGAATTTAAGAGTCAATAATGACTGATGCTATACTCACAGCCATGAAGTCCAGAGTGACACTGTTGATAATGTTATGGTACCTCCTCTCTAGGGTGATGGGCTCGGAAACTGCTGGGAACTGGGAAAACAGATACGGTATAAAATTTCTTATGTTGAAAATTACAGTTGAAACATGTTTAACCCTAAGTCCTGCTGGCAATTTTTACGCAATATTTCAAATAATGTGATGTCTTAACCAGGTCATAGTCCGTTGACTTTTTTTGCCCCGTGGTGGCATAGTTACTTCCGCATTCGTTGTGTTTCGCTGCGGTGTGATGCGTTGCATGAGAAATACCCCCAAATCATACATGTACACATACAGGGTGCTACATGTATATAGATGGTACTGCATGAACGAATCGATTATGAACTTTATTGCTCGACATATGTGCAACCCACATACATGTATATATATATATGTATATATATATGGGCTCCGCAGGACAAGGGTTAATATGGACGAAGTTACATGTAGTTACAGGTCTACAGACATCTTACCTTTAGCCCTGAGAACCTGGGGTTTGCATAGAAAAGGTCCATCTGGTCAGGAGGTAGGATGCCCAGCACCTTCTGTATGGTGTACAGCTGGTCAATCTCGCTTTCCCCGGGGAACAGCGGCTGTCCATCTGACAGCTCGCCCAGGATACAGCCAATCGACCACAGGTCCACGGACTTACCATATGGTGCTCTGGTGTAGGTGGGAGAAACGTTGATAACGGTTAGAAAATCTCCAGACTATGCATGATGTACAAAATGACTAATAAACTGGTGGATGTCCCAACTACTAAGTACCTAATGAGAACAAGAAATAGTCATGCCTTCAAGTACCAGAGTTATCAACCAAGGATTGAGGTGTTCAAGAATTCATTCTTTCCTAGAACTATCGCAGAGTGGAACTCCCTGTCACCAAGTACAGTAGGGGCATTATCATTAGATAGCTTTGAACAATGTCAAGAGTTAGATGTTCAAGGTTAGGTGTAACAAGTCGATCGGTATAATGTAGCCAGCTGCCGCCGCACCGTGTGCCTGCGAAGCTGGTGTGTTATGCCGAAGGGCGGTTACACCGGCTATACAGATACAGAATTGTTACTCAAGCAACTGGATAATTTTTAAACTGTCGGATGTTTCAAGTAGCATCCACTACCTTCTCATCAGTGACTGAGAGAAACATTCATGTCAAAATCATTATTTACCAATAGGAGAGCACAGCACAGTAGCACAATACTGTTTGTCAGTTATGATTGTCAAACGACAGTATAAACAAGATTTTTAAACTGATGAATAAATGTCTGAAAAGTTGTATGTTTGCATGTGTCTTTCCTGAATATTTTTTCATTTTTTTCTGTCAAAAATTAATGATCATAACAAAAAGTACTGATGATCCTTACCCCAGCAGTAGTTCTGGAGACCTGTACCATCTGGTGGCCACATAGTCTGTGTAGGGAGCACTGCCGCCACCTTGGAGGTTCCTCGCAAAGCCTAGAACAGATTGTAGTTCAATGTTAGAACACTAGGAGGCACTGCAGTGTTGGCTTGAAGTGCTTTTTTGGTAAAACCAAGGAGGATCCAAGCCTTCTTGGTAAAAACAATGAGGAAATTTTGAATCACAAGCCAAATGTTCTCATTGAAATATCTGGAGGTTCCTCGCAAAGCCTGGAACAGATTGTAGTTCAATGTTTGAACACTAGGAGGTGCTGAACTGTTGGATTCAAGTATTTTTTGTAAAACCAAGCAGGATCCAAGCCTTCTTGGTAAAAACAATGAGGAAATTTTGAATCACAAGCCAAATGTTCTCATTGAAATATCTGGAGGTTCCTCGCAAAGCCTGAAACAGATTGTAGTTCAATGTTTGAACACTAGGAGGCACTGCAGTGTTGGCTTGAAGTGCCTCTTGGTCAAGACATGATTTAAAAGCCAAAATTTCTCAGTGAAAAATCTTGAAAGTCTGCAAGATTTTACAACATATAATCGTTTTGCTGTAAAAAAAAGCTATCAGATATTTAGACCGAAAGTACCCTTTTCTCAGCATCCTATTGTAAAGGGCATTAATGACAAAAGCATTGCAATTATTTAGCAATCAGACAGGTGGCTCTACTACAATGTACCGTACAATACACAACACCTACTCCCTCATTAACACCATTAACACCTCTAATTAGAGCTTTACTGACTGAAAATAAATGATGGTCTTTCTACAGTTTGCTAACCCTTTGTGCAGATGTCCCCTTAGCAACACCAAGCAGTAGAAAAAAGGCATTTGGTAATTATAGTAATTTATCTAATTTGGAGATAACAGTATCATTAAGGCATTAACCCATGAAAGGCCATGATTATGATAAGGGTAGAGTCACATGGGAGTAAAAAAAGTGGTTCCATTCCAGGCTCTTTGAGTCTTCTTACTGCAAGTTACATATTGAGCTTTAAAACTAGCTAGAAACTTTGACAACTCTACAGTACCAGGGTTCTCACCAGGATTTTTTCACAGCAGGGGTCAGGTACAGAAGGCACAACTTTCGCGGCACAAGACGTGCATTTAGTAGAAAAATTTTGAAACTCATGACCCCCTGAGACACTATTTCTCGCTTAATGAAGGACAGATTTTGTTAAGTTAAGATTTTCCCTTTGCTATAGCATCATTCTGAAGCTATATTTTCAGTTTTTGCAAGATTTATGAAGGTTTTCCCACCAAAAACACCCCTATGCTGGTTGAAATACAGCATAGGGGTCCAAATCACAGCATAGGGGGTCCAAATTACAGCATAGGGGCCAAAGGCCTGGCGAGAACTGTAATATAGTATATACTACTGGTATGCATGCTTTAGAGTTTCAGCAAGCATGTCTGTTTTTCTTCAACTTTCTTTTCTTTTGGTTGTTGCTCCTGCTATCATTTCTAAGGGCATTCACAGATGTACAGTGCAATTATATAGAGAGATGTTCAATCGAAGCAGTATTCAAAAGACGTGGGAAGAGATCTGAACGAAATAAAATTCCAAACTCACCAAAATCACAGAGCTTCAGGAGTCCCTCCTTGCTTATGAGTAGATTCTCAGGTTTGATGTCTGGATGAAAAGATTAAATAGATTATTAGAGAGAAAGGCATGAACACACATCATCACCCTTAATCACTTAGTAAACAGCACAGCCTTGGGACCACATCATATTATTGATAGGCATGCATAGAATGACTACAGAGCATACACGACAACCAACAATGACAATTGTACACACTCAGCAGATTTTTAAAATGCAATTCCCAACACAAAGAAGAGTTGACTTATTCAAATTTCTGCTATACAACTTACAGTTCTTGTCTCTGTGTTGGAAATGGCAGTTTAAAGATCCTTCTTCAAAATAAAGTCTATCAACACAGATGAATGTTCAAACACTGGGAAAAGCTTTGCATGAAAAGTTGTACTAGTACTTGTAGGCACAGAAAATGACCAGAAGACAATGTTGTTTTACTGAATGTCTTTTTGGGTCTTGACAATGCAAATGTTCACTCTTTCTAATCTACATCTACACAGTTTGCTTGCACTCACAGGGCTCAAAATACTGGGTGCATGTGCACCTTAGTGCACCAAAATTTGGAGCTGTGCACCCAATTTTTTTCGTGGGTTTACGTACATATATGATTGTAAAGATGTTAAACGTATAGTGGTATACATCATATTCTTAATCATTGTCAGAATCATTGTCATAGCACTTTTCTTAAAAAATGAAACATAATTAGTTTTTGCTGACATTCTACTTATTTTATCTTATACGGTGCACCCAAAAAAGTATTTGTGCTCCTCATTTTTTAGGTTGGGTGTACCAGTGCACCTATATTCCCAAAAATGAATTTCGAGCCCTGATACATGATGATAAGGCCACACCAATATAATTTGTTGGTTCACGGATTCGCCTGCTTCATTTTTTCTGATTTGCAAAAAAAAGAAAAACACTTCAGCCTCTGAATCAACTCCAAAATGTTCATTTTTTGGTCCCAACAGTTGGTTAAAGGAGGTCCCTTCTCTTCAGAGATGTTACAGTTTTTCCATCTATCAATGCAGTGATTTGATTAAAGGTTTAAAATTTAATGTTTTAATTACAAACTAGCCTGGTATGTTGACTTCATGGCCATTTGGGGCAATCATAGGATGCCTTTTGTGTTTTCTATCTTTTTTCGCCCTGTCGTTTCATACTCTTTATGAAAAAATCCGAGAACCAACAAATAAAATTGGTGTGGCCTATGACTTACCTCTGTGAATAATGTCGTTCTTGTGGCACCAGTGGATAGCCAGGATGAGCTGGTAGATGTAGCTGCGGGTCTGCTCAAAGGGAACACCGTTGGGCATGGCCTCAAGTATCTCCAACATGTTCTGTGTGGAGAAGGGATAAAACAAATAGGTTGTTATCACCACTGTCATTGGGTGTTCTGTCATGTTGAGAACAAATTCTAGCAAATTGGCCAATTGGTGTCAGCTTTTCAGATGTACCATTCATGTGGACTTTGTCAAAAATTATGAGCCACACTTTTTCTCATACTCTCTTGCTAGTGCATTATCTTTACATAAACTGTTCTTTCTTTTGTGTTGCAATAGAAAAATATGCAGATAAACTATAAACAAACAAACAAACAAGCATACTTATCCCCATCCACAGAAACTGAAAAATGTAACATTATAGGACTGTCTTACAAAATCTGCAAAATTAAAAAGGAAACTAGAAAGGCTGATATTTGCTCGGGAGCAAATGCAGCAAATGGCATTACCACATCCCCCGTACCAAAAGTGGATCTATCCCCCTTCATGGTGTGGTGAAGCCATAATAATCGAACCACCAGTAAAAATGCATTCCTACCTTCTCCACATATTCGAACACCAGGTACAGTTTGCCTCTACGTTTGAAAGCCTCCTTCAACTCAACGATGTTCTCATTCTTCAGCATCCGCAGTACCTTCAGCTCCCGCAAGGTGGTGCGCTTCACATCTTCATTGTCTGAAAAATTTAGGAAAGACTTGTAATTTGACAAATATGCCACATGTCAACTACACATCATATATGTAGCAACATCAATACAAAGTGTCCAGCTCACAAAAGAAATTGGCCAATCCCTCATATTCTGCTACATGCTATGAAGATAATTCGTCAAAAATACTTCTTGAAATTTAATTACGAACATTTCCTCCCTAAATTCTGCAGGGATGTGATTATACATTGCCGGGATGTCAGACCCCTTTATGTAACGGAAGTCGCGTTGAATAATTTATTATGTAGAACATTGAAGGTAACAGGACCCAAGACCACAACAGAGAACACACCCTAGTAACCTTACAAGCCGTCACATTCAGTCTTATTCACCTCCTGACGGATTACTAAAACCTATCCTGAAGGCAGTTTATTAATAATTCAAAAGGAACAGATGAGGACATATAATATGATTGAGAAAGATTTACTGCATAAACACTTACAGTTGTCAGAGCTGACATTCAAAACAAAGCTTCATGTTAGCTTTGTGCTCGGCCCTCCCTTTCTTTTTTCTTTGAAAGTCTCTGCGTATCAATCAAAACTGTTTTTCAGCCTTTAGCGTTCAACTTTGGACTAGGACCAATTCAAACGTTAGCATATTGTGTGATTTTTTTTTTGGGTGCCAGGGAATTGCTTGCACATGTAATTGTGACGTCTGCGCATTTTGGTTGTTGAATGTTATTATTAACCCAATCTGTTAGGACAATGCTCCTCAGCAAAAAGGTTAATCAGAAGTAATCATGAAATATCCACAACTGACAAACATGGTTCTGTTTTAAAGCCTTCTCTAAAGCCTTGGACTAATCTTGTTTGTTTAGTAATAAGTGTCATGTTTGTGGGTTTGTTGTAGACTAGTATATCAGGTTCCCTTCATGTGGGGCTGTTCCATTATAATTGGGGGTAGGATGGAAAAGTTCAAAACATTACCACAGGTATGTTCTTAAATCCATACACAAATGTTTGTTTTTAAAAACCATATTTCTCTTGCTTGCATACAATGATACATGCTCTCATCCTTCCAATATCTATGGAATTTCTATACAAAAAAGTGTGCGCCATTCACTAAAATAACCAAGAAATCGGGCAGCCAAAAATTGCCTGGCCATTCCTAGTTTTCTAACTTACATGTAGAGACCTTCTCGCGTAACTACATGTACCCTTTACACATATATTCAAAGTACATGTATGTTACCAGTCTTCATTTTGCAGGCCATTTTTTTTTCAAAACTTACTCTACTTACTTTACTTCATTGTTTAAATTTTGAACCAGCCTGGTGTGTTGACTTCATGGCTCCTATTGTACCATTTTGGGCCATGATAGGATGCCTAGGCCTGTTTTTATTTTCATTTTTTTTCACCTGCCTGCTCCATTATTTTTCTAGAAAAATCTGTTAACCAAGAAATTAAATTGGTGTGGCCTAATTGTAACTTTTAAGTGGTATCGCCCAGGAATGAAGCTAGCCCTTCTCCCACACGAACTCGACACCTCTGCGGCACTGTTGCTCTACCCCCCACCGATGTAGGCAAACACAAACGACACAAAAACAAGAACGCGCCCGTGTCAAAGGTCCCTGGTAATTTACGCAAGCATTCAGGACCAGGTATCGGTAACAGGGGCTTTTCTGACAGGTGTTCAGAGGTGTGACTTACTAGGATATAACATCGTGTTTACTAAATAATCGCAAAATTCTGAAGTAGTATTGTTTTTCTTTCGGCTTAGTGAATACACGAAACTGGTGAGACTTGTAGATCAGATTTCTGCACAAAACAAGAACAGATCATAAACACGGATTATAGCAACCAACAATAGCTGGGTCAAGGTAGAATTGTAATTTACCAACTCCAAGTAAAATTTGGTCAGTTTCTGGTCTTAAATCTAATCCAAGACCCAAACAATTATCCCTGTGACTGTGTAAGGAATGTCAAGTACTTGTTGTGACCTGTTCAATATTTCACAGGCAATCCAAATTCAATTTATTGTTTCCTGACAAGTTTCTAACCCAAAAGATTTATAGGTAATTCAGATGGAAATATAAAAAAGAATATTTTGTACTAAGGATTAGAATCAGGTATTTATCTAACTGAATCACATAAATTTAATATACATTTTCATTGTAACAATTCAAGCGATGCTACCTTAAATATGTAATAAATGATCATATTCTATATTTCTAATAAAAGAATTCTAAAAATCTATTAAATTAAAGTTGACTAACCTCAAACATGTACAGGTACAGCTACATGGGCCTTGTTGTTACAGATTCTTTTACCGAAGGAAACAAATTGGTCAAATTTTTCACAATACCTCAATTCAAACTCAGCGACCTGTGAATTTGCAATCTATTCTTCAGACGGAGCCTAACGCATTGATTACAGCCAGGCTTTGTGATCTAGGTTCACAACAAATCACTGGACATACCAGAAACTAGGTTACCATTCCTACCAGTGAAGTAGTGATACAAGAATATCCAAATAGTGTAATGTAATTCCTAGAGGACAAAATGCTGTTAACAACATCCTGTCTTTTTACTTTGTAAAAGGATAAATGAATAAATTTCCAAGGAAACAGTATCTACATGTAAGTATATCATAATTTGGGAGGTTGTACCGTAGCTAATTTGAGAACTGTTACAAACATCGCTAAAATTTGGCCCTGCAAAACTATATCATTGCATGCGTTTTAAATGATAAGGCCACACCAATTTAATTTGTTGGTTCTCGGATTTTTTCAGAAAAAATATGAAGCGACAGGGCGAAAAAAAATAAAAATAAAAACAGGTCTAGGCATCCTATTATAGGCTTAAATGGTACGAAATGAGCCATGAAGTCAACACAAAAGGCTGGGTTAAAATTTAAACATTGAATTTTGAACTTTTAATCAAACCACTGCAATGATAGATGAGAAAACTGTAACAACTAGGAAGAAAAGGACTTTCCTCAACTGTTGGGGGGCAAAACATGAGTCATTTTTCACTTGATTCAGGAAAAGAATCAAATTTTTTTGCAAATCAGAAAAAAAACGAAGAGGCGAATCCGAGAACCAACCAATTAAATTGGTGTGGCCTAACCATGTAAACAAAAACCTACAACATTTCACTTTATGAAAACAAACAATAGAGAAAGATCTTTTTGTGATTTTCATGTAATAAGTATTGTTCGTTCACATGTCTCTAGACTTCTCATCAACCATACATGTATGATAGATATTGTTGATAACTATATCTATATTTCCTTTAACACATTGTACACATAATATTCTTTCCAAGTACCCTAGCCACCTGGGTCCATATATAAGTTATGACCAATCCATTATCCATGACACCTCAACCATTATAAAAAACCTAGCAACAGCCATCTACTTATGGTATAAACCTTGTGCTTCCTTTCAAAAGGGTGTACATGTAGCTTCATAAAAAACATGGGATAAGTGGAGTTAGTGGACACAGTACATGACTTCTTAACTCATGCGCCTCTTGTAAAAGTAAAGAGCATAAAATTTGATAGGACAATAAAACCAGAAGACCTCTCTATGTGGCAACATTCCTCCCTTTAGTTACTGTGGACATACCAAAATAGTCCTTGACACAGACATACAGAAACACAGCGAGGTCTTATTGACAGAGCAGGGCTGGAAATACTGGGTGCATGTGCACCTTAGTGCACCCAAAATTGGAGCTGTGCACCCAATTTATTTCTGAGGGTGCACTGGTGCACCCAAATATTTTTGTATGTATTTTTGCGCATATTAAATGTATTATAGTATACAGGATATTCTTGGCATCTAAGTGTCAAAAAAATAATAAAATCTTTGTTTAGATTTTGTCTAAGATTTTGAAGTTAGCTCCCATTTCAGATTCAAGCTCAGAAGAGAAGCAGTAAGATCTGTAACTAGGTTTTGTTTTATATGGTGCACCCAAAAACTTTTCTGTGCACCTAATTTTTTAGGTTGGGTGCACCAGAGCACCTATTTCCAAAAATGAATTTCGAGCCCTGCAGAGTAACATATCTGTACTTGTGACATCACCAAACAAACAGCCGCCCTAGGAGGGAATGGGTAAATAGCTACTAAATTCTGGGGCACGAGCCCTTTGTTCTTAAACACAGCAAAAAGTTGACGCGCTTTCGCCTCGTACAATGCGGTCAAAAGACGGCAACAGCTCGACAACAAACACTGGCCATTTTTACAACCCAGCAGCCTTGACTTGTATTTTTGCTTGAGGGTTAAGCCCTTCTTCCGTTCACAAGATTCAATAGATAATCCGTAAGGCCACACCAATTTAATTTCTTGGTTAACGGATTCGCCCGCTTCCTTTTTTTCTGATTTGCAAATAAAAATAAAAATTCAGAATCAACTACAAAATGCTCATATTTTGCCCTGAACAGTTAAAAACAGTCCTTTTCATCCTAGTTCACTAGTAGTTGTTACAGTTATTTCATCTTTTAATGCAATGGTATCATTAAAAGTGCAAAATTCATTGTTTGAATTTTGAACCAGCCTGGTGTGTCGACTTCATGGCTCTTATTGTACCATTTTGGGCCATAATAGGATGCCTAAGCCTGTTTTTATTTTTATTTTTTTTCGCCCTCCCGCTCCATTATTTTTCTAGAAAAATCCGTTAACCAAGAAATTAAATTGGTGTGGCCTAACCAAAAATTATATTTCCTGCCATGTGAACTGCAGTCTAGTACAAGGTTATTTGCAGGACGGATGCCTGAGACTTGCCACTGCATTCTAGGAACACTACTTGTGATACTACATAAATAACCACACCATGGTCTTCAACTTCTTCAATTTGAGGCAGCCGCGTTCAACTAGCTGAAGATTCTGCTGCCTTTTTGTGGCTAATATGACATGGGGTTCGCCAGGCCTCCATCCAGGAAAGTCTTGTAAACTGCCTTTCCCGAGGGCACAAGATCGGTGACATGGCAGGGCTCGAACCCAGGACCTCGTGGTTCTGAGCCGAACGCTC